TTTTGTACATAGATGTCATAGGACACTGCACAGACCTGATAGTTTTTAGGGTAATATCAGTATATATTAATTAGCTAATTTGCATAATTAATTAATTTTCAACTTTTGATATTTCAAGTAGTAATCATCACATTTCAATGACACTTGGTACATAGATGTCATAGGACACTGCACAGACCTGATAGTTTTTAGGGTACTGTAGCGCATTTTTCCAGTCAGAGAAATAAGCTAAATTAAAACCCAGTGAATAATTACCCCCTTTACAGTAATATGAGTACATATTAATTACCTAATTTGCATAATTAATTAATTTTCAGCTTTTGATATTTCAAGTAGTAATCATCCCATTTCAATGAAATTTGGTACATAGATGTCATAGGACACTGCACAGACCTGATAGTTTTTAGGATAATATCAGTATATATTAATTAGCTAATTTGCATAATTAATTAATTTTCAGCTTTTGATATTTCAAGTAGTAATCATCACATTTCAATGACACTTGGTACATAGATGTCATAGAACACTGTACAGACCTGATAGTTTTTAGGGTAATATGAGTACGGTACATATTAATTACCTAATTTGCATAATTAATTTATTTTCAGCTTTTGATATATCAAGTAGTAATCATCATATTTCAATGAGACTTGCTACATAGATCTTCTAGGATTATGCAGAGACCCCCTTACAAAAGTTTCCTATAGGATTCCTATAAGAATCCTATAGAACAAATTCCTGTAGGATTCTATAATATTTTGACACATGTTTTCCTATAGGAATCCTATAGGATTTTGTGTCAAAATATTATAAGGAATCATATTGGATTTTGTCCTATAGGAAACCTATAGGATTTTGTTCAATAGGAATCCTATAGGATTTTGTGTCAAAATATTATAGGAATCCTATTGGATTTGGTCCTATAGGAATCCTATAGGTTTTTGTGTCAAAATATTATAGGAATCCTATTGGATTTTGTCCTATAGGAATCCTATAGGATTTTGTGTCAAAATATTATAAGAATCCTATTAGAATTTGTCCTATAGGAATCCGTGTCAAAATATTATAAGAATCCTACATGAATTTGTCCTATAGCAATCCTGGATATTTTTCCTGGAGGTTTCAGCTCTTTTGGGGAAAGAGCCCATCAATCACTTACATAAATAACATCATAAACTAAAATTAGTTAAACAAGAATATTTTATTGCTTAACATGTACCAGACTTAAATTTAATACAATTGTAAGAAAAATATAAAAAAAAGATAAAACTATTACCATAAATATATTGCACAACATTTCTTGAAATGCAATGAAAATATAAAGTTGATGACAATTTGAATAATAAATACCCTCCACTCTGTCATTGTTTCTAAGTACTAGATTTTTTTCATAAAAATTATTTTATATTACCGAGTAATTCCAAAAAACAAAACAGTAAACAATCTCAACCAGCAATTACAAACTTTTCAGTCAATAAAGAAATGTACCGGTACACTGAAATAAAATAAAAGTTTACTGCCTTGGAATAAAATGATGTACACTGAGTGATACACAGTATCCAGACAATTTAAATATAAATGTATAAAAAGTACAATTACAAAAATACTGGTATGCATATTGTGTTTCTAAACAAAAGCACAGAACCCTCAATTCAAATTCATTGATTTTTAATACTAGTATGAGAGAGAGTCTCCATTTTGGGTCAGAAGGTTTAATTTGTGATAAAGAAATACAAAATAAATATTTTCAATGCAGTCTTCTGTGAGATATGTCATTCATAGGATTTGAGTATTAGACCTGTAATACAAAAAAGAATTTGTTTCAAATGTTTTATTAAAATATTAATTAAAATATTCCAAATACTGTAAAATACTTTATTTTCACTTGCAATTAATTTTTGCTATTTTCGCTGAAGGGATAATTCAGTGAAAAAAAAGTCTAGTGAATATAACTTTTTTCCTGTATTTCAAACTCACTCATCAAAAATCAGTGAAAATAATTTCCTCACAAAATACCCAAAAAGCCCTTTCAGCTAAAATAAAGTATTTTACAGTAGATAAAAAAAAACTACTATTTACTGCATATGCACTATTAGATGCGTATTCCCAATAGAAGTGCATATAAACCCAACATTGCATTGGCTGTGTATTAAAATTTACTTTTTTTTGCCATAGAAAAAAATTCTGTATTTTTTATAAGAAATTTGAAGGTACATATGTGTGTAATGTTTTTAAATACATGAATTTCATTGATTTTATTAAATGCATTTCTCTAAATTTGGCTTTCACAAATTAAATAAAAAAAATTACTAGTAATATGAAAAAAATGGTACTTTCTAAATGTAAAATTACTTGTATTAAATTAGCATTCAATTATAATTTTCCAAAATTAAAAGTTGTTAGAGAAATCAAAATTGGTTCAACAGGGTAAATATTAGGAAATTATATTGAAATTCACTGCTGTTATGAGTGAATTTGCCCCCCTGAAAAAGCCATGCACTGGGTGACTATTTACATAATTATATATGCAAATACCCCCCCCCCCCCACCACCACCACATGCACATACAAATAACTATTTTGAAACAACAAAAGTTAAATTATGAAAAATGATCAGCAACCTTGATATATTTGTAATCGCAAATGGTTATGTACATCCCCATCATATCACAACTGTCTTTAAATT